TTTGCCATAATACAACAAATCATCAGAAATAGATTATAATATACAACAGAATCTAATAAAATCAGGTTACTAAGTAAGTTACTCACCTTTTGAACAACACTATTCACAGTGGCCACCCATCTCTTCTGGTAGTAAACTCTCAAGGGCCGCGCATTCTCTTCACCTGCCACCACCCATTTATCCAGATAATCCTTTATGTACAGATCTGCAGCACTGTTTGAATGCGTGCATAGTAGAATTCGATTTGCTGGATCCTTTATTAAATTTCGGATTGCTTGCGCTAACGTGAACGTTTTTCCAGTGCCAAACGGACCTAAACAGATAACCGTTTTCTCAGCTAATTGATTTACTGTTTGTAATCACTCGAGAAACACTTTTTTCTCTCTGTGCGTTCGTTTCTTTCTATTTCTGTGCCAAATTTTTAGGAACCGTTTGAATTACAGAACTGAACTTTGCCGAGTTTAAATTAGTCCGAGCCCTACTCGCATTTTTTTGCTCGAACAGAAATAAACCACTTTTTTAGAAAGTGCAAAACCGTTTCAGCTTTCAAATATACAAATTTTGACTAAACTCTAGAAAACTGGACAGGCTAAAGAGAGAATAAGCACCCACAGCACTGAGGCAGCAAAGTTCTCTTTATAAAACGGTTTAAAAATGAATTACTTTGATTATGAACAAAATTTTGAAAACTCACTCACACTCACACTTCAACGTAGGGATTGAAAAATTAATTACATAAAAAATTCAGCAGAAAATAAATTAGCATTTGCTGGACCTTTAGAGAAACGTTTTCCCTATAAAATCGAGTCAAAACCTACATGACTAACGTCCCCTAATTAAGTGTCATTTTGCGACGGGGATTTTCGAAAAAAAAGGTGCAAACGAGATAAATTTAAATAAGATAATATAGATTTATATTAGAGTCGTTGGTTTTTCCTATTTCACTTTTACGCCAGTGAAAAACTCGCAAACTCTACGCACTTTTGTTCGCAAATTCTGAAGCACCAATGAATTTTACAGAAAAAAGGTGTAAACCGTTTTCCAGAACAATGGCAATGGCAACACAAACAAAATGTTGCTAACGTTTTGACAATATTCGGCAAATAAAAAAATAACAGATAGAATTTAAAAGTGTTTTTTGGATGATTACATCAGTTAATCATTCAACAGTTCTTCTCATTAACTTACCTATAACTAAAATGGGTGGCAAGGAGATACTGAGAGGTGTCGTAATCGCGACTACAGCTTCCTTCTGTTTAATGTTGAGTCGATAGTCCAAATTTCGAGACCACTGTCTCGAAGGTGACCATGGAATGATTGGCTCCAAGTAAGTTTCCGGAAATATCGCTTTAAAATTGGGCATTTTGTCTAAGATATAATGCCATTCACAATACGGTATTCTATTCAGTTGAAACTGGATCTGGACCTCGATGTCTGAATCCGGGGTCAATTGCAGTTGGCTCACGGTGTCGCTTGATAACCTGAGAATATTTAGGTTAGTTTGCACTTTCAAACTCCCTTTAAAAGCCGCTCACCTCAAATATATTGTACTCTTGCCCTTGTCTTCGATTAGTGCTTCAAATACTTTTCGTCCAGTTTCGCTTTGAGTTCCAGATGGGCACAAATACACAGAATTACAGTGCATTAGAATCAGTCTGCCCTCTGATGTATCTTCAGACAATTCTCTGCCCAGACTAATTGAGGCAAACAGCTCACCATTATTTGAATATTTAGCGGTGCTTGCAGCCATACTGTTTGGTGATAGTATGTAACTGCGAGTGATTTTCAATTTGGTCGTCAAGTTATAGTTTGCTATAAGATCATATCGAGACATTTCTTCTATGAATAGTAATTCATGCATTCTTTCCCTAAAATGACCAAAAAAAAACATTATTGAAACGAACAGCCCATCTTGATTAAAATAAAAGCAATCGGCCATATAGACAATGTGTTCATTTACATCAATGCATCTGTTGGGCTCTGGATAGATTGTAAATTAAAAGATAAAAGTATAGTTATGGTGTTATATAAGCACATTCCTTAATGCATTTGTGTATTGTTAAAATGTACGTATTTTTTGTTTATATATTTACAAGTTATTATATATTACAAGGGGTTTTGATAAAAATTAAAAGCTGAAGTTGATTTTAAGGTTTTGACTCATAGGAAGCTCTATCGGCATTTTAATCAACATATTTTACAAAAATGCTTTTTGCTTCATGACAAAGACCCAATTAGCAAGTACTTAAGCCGTACTTGTAAATATTTTAATTGATTGCATCGAACCATCCACCTGCCTGGGAACTGTTTGTTCAAAATATCGAACTGCAACGAACTCGCGGTATTTTTGGGCTCCAAAGCTTGGGCTTTCGAAAATCGTTCTAATGCGTCAAATTATCTTTTTTTGTGTTTCTTCACGGATTAATAAAACATTTTCCGTTCCAATTTGCCCGCCGTTTTTTTGTTAGTGGTAAAAGTTTCAAATTAAGGAATAGTGATTGGTTTTCGTGCGGATTTTTGCAGGCCGGAGTTTAGTATTTATTTCCTCTGTAAATTGCAAAGAAAGAAAATTTATTTTGAATCCTTTTTGCAGGAAAAAGTATCTTCTACAAGTGACAAAAGTTTCGATTTTCAGTCATCATCAGGCAATTTTCAAAAATCGAAAACGTTTGGATTTCGACTCATCCTCACCTATTCAGGCATAGTCTGGTCTATAAGTGGCAAAAGTTTCGGTTTTGTGTCATCAACACGCTATTTTCAAGATTATTATTATAAATGATGTGAATCCTGACTGACTGAAGTTTGGCTTTATTTTCTCACAAACCAGTAAAGTTGAAGTTTCACTTTCTGGTGCATTTTATAGGTCAAAGTGCGTTTTATGAAAAGTAAAAAGTGCATGTAAGCTAACAATAAACATAAACCATAAGAGATATTTGTGCTATCCAACCTGTAATTGTTTCTGGTAAATTTATTTTCCGTCATTGTTGCGTGCGACAAAACAAAGGTCTCATTTTGCGGACACGGATACATTGATCTTAGTTTCTTTTCCCAATCTTCACTGGTACTTGAACTAACCAGTTCCGAATGGAAATAGACGATATCGGAATTATGAACCGTCCATCTTTCCGATATGGAAAGAGTGATCTCTTTGCGAATCTCATTTATTTTATTTAATTCTGCATCTGGAACCAAGTCTGCACAAAGATGTTTTACCTGTAAATGAAAAATATATATTTTATATAAGTATATTTACAATGTCAACTCAACTTTCGCAGAGTCAATGAATTGATCAACGTAAAAAAACAAGAGTATATTTATTTATCTCCGATTCCTATCAAGGCGCAAAAGTACAAATTAGAACTATTTAATAATTAGGTAAATTTAGCGGCAAACACTGTTCCACACTCTCCTGGAAGGTTTCATACATTATGTTTTTTGTTATTGATTTTATTAATTATTGTTTGTCGACAAATTGTCGCTTGAAGGTGATTAAATTTTGCCAATCTACGTTATTACTTACCAAAACTGGTTCGGTTGAGAAATCAAAAACCACACTTTGCCGAAATGTGCCAAAAATACTAGTTTTGAACATAACGGTTATCCTGTACTCAACAACAGCAAATGAATCTTGAAGACAGAGATGCGATATCCATTCCTGGTCATTCTTGTGTTCGATTTTTGCATTTTTAATGAATATACTTGAAATATAAAAATGCATACGGTGTGTATCCTGAAGCAGGGCCACTGCTTTAAGAGGCTTGCGTGTTCTAAGTAAAAACGTCCAATTGTGGTAACTATTTTTGGATGAAACTGTCACCGAAAGAGGACACGAACATGTTTCGTCAACCTCATCGATCCTATCGCACATTAAAGTGTCAGGACTAGGTGATTGAACCCATTTTTCGAGCAGCTCCTCAGTGTAAGATTTACCAAAAAGTTCCTTTTCTCTAGCCCTTTGCAATTTCATTTCCCTGTATCTAAACCTTTCTTTCCACTCAATTAGCTCGACTTCTCCATGAGCTTGGACACACTGCACTCCAAATCTATAGAGAAAAACATAATAAAACGTTTACTTTACATCTTAATTTGAGGCTAGTAAGTGTACAAAATAGATTGCATGCCTTAACAAATAACCTTTGCAACAATGTACATGCAACACTCAGAACACCCTTTTTTCTTTGAACTTTTTCTGCGAATACCGCAGTTTTGTTTGATAATTATTTAGCTATTTTGTCTATAGACACATGCATACGTGCCCCCAGAGGAATAACGCCAATTTTTAATCACCCTATATAAAACTCTGCAGTTTACCTGCACGTTCCTGAATCTTTCCAGTTTTGACACAAAACGTAAGTATCTGATTTAAATCCTCGAGGCGGAGGACGCCAAAACCAATCATGTCCTTCATCAGACATAATCATCATTTCATGTATTTCCGTCTGGCAGTGCGCCCTCAGTTCGGTTTTATCCTTGAAGGATACATTGCAATATATGCAAGATACCAATGTGCTGTCCACCTGAAAATAATATCAAATATACGGTGTGTCCCATAAAATTTTAGATTTTGTCCTATTTTCACTGGAAACCGATAAGAAATTACATCGTCCTCTATGTAGAATCTATCTGTATCGACTTTATTTAATATCTTTAGTACTTTGCGTTCACTCTGTAGAACGATAAAACTTAACCAATGTGATATAACGACGGATTGTTTTTAATCATTAGCTGGCATATTTTAACAGTAATGCTATAGAATAGTAATGACTATTAGAAATCTGGCATACGTACATTATTTGCAAACGATTGCATAGCTGCTTCATCCATTTTGGATAATTGCGCCTCAAGTAATTTCATAAGATTCATAAATTTTTGCTTTGATGCGGCATTTGAATTAAAAGTTCCTAATAAGCCACGCAGAATGAGTTTTACTTCATTAATTTCTCTGGATTCTTCAGAATCTAGAAGCGTCAACCATTCCTTTGTCGCTCTATCTGCATCTGGAATTAGATACAAACATTCACTTATCATATGCACCCACCTCTTGTGATAAATTTGTGATTTACCCTGATGATAATTAAATGGATTGGCATTTAAACTGACAAAATAGTTGCATTTTTAATGAAACTAACGTGATGATTTAAGCCCAATAATGTTAAGAAATAAATTAGTAAATAGGATATTTCCTATCACTATTGTATTACCTATATATTTATGTAATAAAACCAAAGACTGTATCAGTCTTTTTCTAGCCAGCAACGTAGTATGGACATTCTGATTTACTGTGATTTGGATAATACTCTTGCAATCGTTTATAACTGCAGCGTAATTGTTCAATTCGAAAAGACATTCCAATCGACTAAATAATGCCAATACAATTTGCTCGATAGAATTGTTCTTATTTCTTAAAAATGTTGTATATGTTTCCACTGCCTTTTTCCAGTTTTTTTGTTGCCGAACATATTCTTGCGCGGTCTGCAGTTCCATAATAATGTTCAAACCTTTCAGTCGCTTGAGTCGACAAGTTTTCACAAGGTAACGAGGTAAATACAAGTGTAAATATGCACATAATGTTTGAAAAAGAGGTCTAACTTAAACAAAATAAAATTAGTTTACACAAAATTAACATGAGCCTAACCGTCACTGTCAAAATATACATTAGAACTACCCTTAAGTTAGCAACGGAGCTGTCTTGGAATTCGCCCCATGACTCACAGTTGCCAAGTGTATTCAATATTGTGCCGGTATACAGGGTGATTCAAAATTAGCTTCATTTCTTTAAAGGGATTTTAGGAGCTCATCTTTTTTAGAAGCTTCATTCACAAAATATACACCAATATCGCAATCGAAAATAGTTGTGTTTCGCATCGTCATCTCAAGTCTCAGGTATTAATTTGCGAACAACAGACCAATTTACAGAAAAGAAAAAATGCYTCTTTCTTTCTTCTAAAGCATACTCAAAATTACTACATTTTTTGGGACAATAATGTGAAGTAACAGGTATAATGTTTTCAACTGCTTATTTGCTGKTTTTCTTTTTWTGGAATATAACGTATTTCAATTATAGGGCTTTCTGACATTATGATTRGAAAGTCCGCGCCCATTTACTGATTTCAAATCTATCATATAGTATAAARGGAAGAAGAGCCACATTATGATATCTGTCAATCACCTGTGAAAGACAATCAACATTTGACACTTTAGACAGTCCCAGATTATTATTTTCTAATTTGCATTGTTTTTATGTCGGCTTGATATAAAATATTAGCATTCATTTCTAGTAACGGTAGAAAACAAAATAAATGCGATAATTGATTGTGCTATAAGTATAGTTTAAACATAAACATAAATCACGCAGTGAGTAATCAGGCTTTTGTGCAAGTTTATCTTAATAAGTTACCAAATGAATCAAAATATGTTATGAGTAAATAATATTGGTATTAGAGAATTCGGAACTGTGTCTGGAAAATATTTATCGTATGCCGAATTGTTCCGGATTAATCCGTATTCAGTATGGATTCTCATTCAGATAATAGAACTAGAAGTTGGCTTTTTCGTCTAAAGTATTTGAAAGTATTTAAAAATTCCAATAATAGTAATAGCACATCTGATAAAAATCAAATATGTGCTGCAAGAAACACTGCGAACGGAGCATTCACACAAAGCACGACTCGAAATAATTTAAATGATTCGACGGATTTAAGGCGAAGCGAAACGCATTTGAGAAAGAGTATCAAGAAGTGGCATAATCGAATGAAAAACTGTTTTTGGAAAAATAACAGGCATTTAACTTCAAGACCTCCAATATATATTGCACATCAACCAGATTCTCCTAGTTTCTCACGAGTAAGTACGGATAAAGTAAAAGAAATTCGTTTTTCACCTAATGGGGGCCATTTCCTAGTTTATCCGGGCCTCGAGTTCAAAGTTAACAATATGCTCACCTTATAATTATGATCCCTTTACCAACAACTTGTTTTAGTGGTTGGTAAAGGTTCCTCCGTGTGGAAATCCAGCTTTTGATCACTGTTCACTCACTAAATTCGCTAAATGTTTGTTTATTCATACAATTATACTTGATTATAACTGTATTTCCATGTCAAAGCTGTTTAAATGGTGATCAGCTGAAACAAAGTAATTTTTTTTGTTTCAGAGAAGTAATTCGGACACATTCCAAACTGAGAATATATACACCTTAGATCCTTCGGTGCAAAGAAAAATCACAGTAAGTATTCAATCAATTCGCACATAATTTTTGTCCAGTGACTAGATTCTATTAGCTGAAATGTGTTCACAGCGAATATACTGGAAGATTCAAAATTGTCGTCAATTCTCTAAAGGTGTTTTTAATAGTAAACTAAGCTGAAAAACTGTGAAAACTTTGAAAAAAAACGGAAATATTACCAGATCCTTTTTAACTGTAGCGCAAGAAATAATCAGATAGCAAAGTTGAAGTTGCACTTTCAAGAAATAAAAAGATTTGCAATCACCCTGTATAATCACGTATTTGCAGGTTGCAGTATCTGAGCAGCAGAGTCATTCCAATAAGTCGTCAAATATTTCTCTCGATTCAAGTTCCTCGAGGTTGTCAACAACCGCTGATATTCAGCCAAGATCTTCTCATCTCACAAACGCGAACCCCTCCGGATGTAACTACACCCCTAAAAATGAAGTTTCAAGTTTGGCACACCAAGTTTGGTATTGGGGCCCCGTTTCCAAATCACTGGTGGAAGCCAAACTTGAGGGAGCCCCAGACGGATCATTTCTGGTTCGGGACTCTGCTTCTGATAGGTGAGAAATCCACTACTTATGTTTATATTAAAACAAGCATTTCTTTTCTTTTTTTGTTTCGTAGGCACATCTTTTCTATAAGTTTCCGAAGTGTAGGGAAAACGTTACACTCCCGGATAGAACATACCAATAGTGGCTTTAGAGTGTTTGATCATAAATGTTTCGATACGGTCAGAGAGCTCATAGAGCAGGCTGTTAAAATATCCTCAGAAGAACAGGTTTTTTGTTACACAAAAAGCCAAGGTATGGAACCAAACTATCCTGTTAGACTATTGAAACCTATTTCACGCTACGATGAAGTCAGATCTTTACAGAGTCTCTCAAGGTTTGTTATCAGGCAACATATAAATGTAAATGATATTGAAAATTTGTGTTTACCGGTAACTTTAATACAATATTTAAGGGAAGAAAATTATTTTTAAGCTTCCCAGCTTTTATCAGTAACACTGCTGAGAGAAAAAATGTTAAATTGTCCTCTTACCGATCCACAGCGGTAAAATGAATTATTTCATTCACTACGCTTTAGGAACTTTTATAAATCTTCTCTTCGTTTAACGATTGTGGGCAAGCTAATGTTGTCAACCAGCGCCTCTCTAGAAGATCAAATGCCACCTGGAAAGCTATAAATTGCGTTTTGTGTGCACATTTAAAATGTATTTTTTAAGCTTGAAAAGTTTAATTCGATTTCGAAAATGCCAAATAATGAATGTGTTAGTTTTTTGTTTTTAGCAAATTGTGATAAAAAAAATTTACAATTAAAAGCTTCCCATAGTTTATGCGGCAATAGTGTTATTGTGATAAACCGATTTATTATTTTCTCTTACTTTTCAATTCATTTCCCACTTCGTCAAGGGAATAACTTGATTTGGAAACTGCAAAGAACAATTCATTAATGTAATGAATTCACTTATATGTTAATGTTTCAGTTGTTTTCATATACTTGTTTTACAGTTGCAAATTATATAAATGTATGTAATAAATGCTAGTGCCTTATGTTATTGGATATTGTTTGATTTAGTGCGAAACACTTACCTTAAAGCCACGATTTCCAGAAAAACATTTTTATAAGAAGCACTTAATGCGGTCTTACGATGTCGCTTGTTTTTACAATCAATTTCAGTTGAGAATGTTTTACATCCTCGTAAATCCTTCTTCTAAACTCTATCAAATTTGAAGAAAATTCGCCGGCCATTCGCGGATGCACCAGAGATTGTGCTAAATTAACTTTTCCGAATAACTGTAGATGCTTTTGCTTTGCTAGTGATAGCAGCTAAGCAAAGCGGATTTTTCTCTTTTGAGAAAAAGTCACTTGTCTTACAGTTTCCTTGGTGAGATCGTTACACTTTGCTTTGCGATTCGTAATATTTCTTTTTTTATATTACTGAACAGAACAAAACTTTACACGTTTTAAGTGTAAAACTACTAACACAGTTTAAAAGGTGGTAGTGCCCAGCAAAAGGCCCACCCTGTATATTGCAACAAAATTCTGACATTTATATCTTATGAATACATATACATAATGGAAAATTATTTCGCATACGGATTCAACTCAGCTTCTAGCCTCTTTCACAAATAATGTCAACAACGCTGGGTTCCATTAAAACTGGTTCTAGACATCTATGAACAGCAGATCCCAAAATCTCATCTAACAAAAAGTGAACTAAATTTTCATCAGCAACAAATCTCCATAAATACAATTGCAAGTAGTGGGTATCAACTTGAATCTGTTGCAATCCGTATTTGCTAAATGTCTTCAATCGCACACATTCCATGAAAGTTTTCAGACTGATCTTGATAATGCCGGTTAGAATTGAAACTTTCGAAAAATCGACGGGCGAAAATATATCAATTCTTTCGCTGAACAGTTTGTGCATGTTAGACACCAATGTTGAGTCCAAGTGACTTGGAGTGTAACTTGACCAGTTTGATTTGTACTGGACTTTTGATACTGATATACTGTGGGTTTTTCGGCTCGAATCGCTGCTATTGCCGGTTGTAGTTCCTTGATCTTCATATACCAAGGCGACAGTAGCATCGATGACTGATATATCCTCAACTACTCTCTTCATAACAGCTCGTACAGTCCTTGGCTCAATGGTATGCAGCCAATCTCTTGTTTCTACACTTTTTCTCAACATTTGCGAGCAATTATGGCCCTGTAACTGCACGTAGTGATTGAGTAAATATTGTGCAGACTCTTGCATTGAGTTGCTTATATCAGATTCATTTGTCAATTCTATGCCGTTTCTTTTTGAGTTCGCATTGAAGATTTCGTCGGTTTTCGATATAAGAAACCGAACACTATTATTTCGAAAATCTAGGCAAAATCTGGAGAGCAAAAGAATTAACGAAGGATGTATTTTCGCATCTAATACACCTTTAGAGCAAAAGTTTTTGACCGACACCGATATGTGCCGCAAAAAACATATTATCAATCCTTCCCGGACGTTACCTATGCAAAACTGCTCAGTGAATGCTGTTTTTTTAGCGAACGAAACTTCCGGGTTGATAAACGCTACGAGGTCTTGCAATACTCCTTTAGTTTTTTCTACAACGGTGACGATCATTGAATTTAACAGTTCATTTAAGCTCTTCGACGACTCATCTTGGCTCACCAGTTTTGGGGCAGTTAAAACTTGTTTGACTCTCGAAACAGTGTCCGAAAATGCCAATTTTAACAGTTGCAGATGGGCCTTACATTGTTTTCTACCAGCATTACTAATTATTTCAATGGCAAATTGAGCGAAACTAGTGCTGTTCGAGAATTTGTTATCGCAAACTCTCATATAAAAATTATCAAGGGCTCCCACTAAAGTGCTCGTATCAGCAATATCCTGTTCAGAATCTACTTTGTTTTTCACTAAATCAAAATATTTTTTCATATTTTCATTTACGAATGAATCTAACTCCACTGCGGCAAAATTTTCAAATATTTCACTGTTTTCAATATTCTCTGTGTTAATTCTGTTGATAAACATGCCATGAAAGGAAGCAACTATTAAGCACAAATCGCTTAGAAATCCCGTACAGCCAAGATCAATGAATTCTGCTATGCCCCTTTGCTCGCTTTCGTCCTTCAAGAGCACCAGCTGCTCACATAATCTCTTATCAGCACAAGACAAAAAATCTGTACATAATTCTTTAGCAGGCTCCTCTAGTTGTAATAGCAAATCCACTGATTCCGTTAGTTCCGCCGTAGAAGCACTGGGATCGCTGAACTGCTTTCTAAGTTCATTTTTCAACTCATCCAAAATTGATTCACAGTCACCTTTAATTCCCTGGAATGCTGGCATATCACCATACTGCTGCAACACTCGCTGGGCATGCAAATAGTCCTGAGTAGCTTGGATATAATTTTTCTCATCCATACGTGACTTCAATGTAGCAGGCAGCTTAAAAAGAAACTGCAACCTTTGGAGCAAAGAATGAACACCGGACAAATGGCAAATTTTTTCTCGAGTATCCTGCAAATTTGAATTGATCTTCTCGGAGAAAGAAGTGATCGAATCCATGTTTGTCATCAATAGATCCATCTCATCTTCCATTTTCTTGAAATCATTTTTCATCTTCTTGATGGTATCAGTGGCAGAAATAAATTTGTTGTAGTTTTCATATACGAGGGTCTGCATGTCCGAGTGTAGTGTTTGCGTATCTTTCACAATTTCATTCTCGTGGTCCATTATTTGGCGAAGGGTACATTCTTTGAATATTTTATCCAGGTAAACGTTGGGGTTGAAATTGGGTCCATTTATGTCCAATTGATTTTGATTTTTTTCACCCATTATTTACAGTTGTCAGTCGGTAGGCCCTCTGCACGAAGTTAATCGATTTCTGGGATTTTCACTTCGATTTGTACCACAATTTGAAAGATTTTTTTGCAACAATCATATGAAGTTAAGTAAATAAATATGGTGTTTGTTTACTTGTCTGACATAAGTCGTTCAACGTCAACTAGCAATGTCAATATGCTCAGTGATAACGAAGATCACAAGTTGAGGTTGATCGACTGTGACGTCACACATAAGTTTAATATTTGTGTAAAACCTCTATAATAGGTTCGTCTGATCAACAAATTTTCAGGGGCAACCATTCGTTTTGAACACAAAAAACCCGGATGAAAAAAAAGTTAATTATGACAATTTCGTAATAAAGTTGCAAGAAAAAAAGTTAAATTTTCTATTCCATATTTCAGATCAGCATGTTTGTTTTTTTAAATGAAAAAATGTCAAAAACAATTGCTCAAGAGTGGTATCCGGTTTTAATTCTGACAAAAAATTTAAAGTTTTATTTTAAGCAAATGAAAAAACTTCATCGTTCTAAATTTTCCTGTTAAAATGCAGATTACTTTTGGTACAAAATTTCAAAAATGCAAAATAAACGTAAAAATTAATAATAAATTAAATTTTTCAATTGATCACTTTGAAGATCTGTCCGCGACACCGTATAATTATTGATAAAATCTTTGGCACTTGAGTCCATTCTTTCGAATAAAGATTTACTTATTGAACTTATATCATTGAAAGAAAACATTTATATAATAATATTTAGAAAATAAATGAATACACAACTAGAAATAAAAAACAGATACACTTACACATTTGGGGTGAAGTGGAAATATTTATGATATAATATAAAACTAACCTTTATTAATTTTAACTTGTCGATATTTCAGTACGTCAGTGATTACAAGTGAATTACGCCCTTTAAAATTCCTCCATGCATTATTTTTTTATGCAATTTTGATAAAGAGAACTGACAAAATGTGATAAATCGTCCTCCGGTAATTCCAAGTTTTCGACTTTAATCTGCTGAGCTGTTTTGAGAGTATCAAAGTACTAAAAACACACAAACTGAGTATTAATACAAACTCTTAAATTACGGTAAAATCTTAAATATACAGGGTAGAACAACTTCGCGATGTTAGGATTGATGTAAGAGTGAAATTAGGGAAAAATTGCGATTTCAATGCATACCACGGTTTGAAAAAAGTTGGAAAATTTGAATGACTTCCCGGTATATTCACAAAAACGCAAAATTTTCTCAAATATATTTTTTTAAATATTTATCGCATTATTAGAACACTTTTTACTAAAATTTTACTTTTCTATTTAAATTATTAAAACACTTTTTACTTAAAAAAGGCCGGGAAGTTGGTGCTAAATTAATTTAATTTACCTTGGATAGATCTTGAAGTGTTGAATTACAATATTTAAGTAAATCCCCAAAATTGTTATCAGTGGCAAATTTGGGTGGCATCTGTAAAGTTTCTAGGCGTTTAAACTCTGACATGGACTGTTTGAATGAAGTCAAACTTTCATCAACGCTGCTAATATCTGTATTCCATTGTGGGAGTTTGCAGTTTAAAACAACTTTTTCGTCTTCCACACACAATTTCTTTGATGAAATAATAATGGCTTTCAGTTTTTCATGTCTTTCTTCGTCAGTAAGCGACACAATATTTCCAAATTCCGGAAATGGATTTACGTCTTTGTGTTGAAAATTATCTAAATCTGCATCCGTAATTGACGTTAATACTTGTTCATCATCAGCGAGTCTAGTCCGTATTGTAGGTTCCATAATTTTGAACATGCGATATATTAAGAAAATCTAAAATTGCATCAATTGAACGGATTAGAACAAAAAGGGGCAATTATCTAGATGATCTGGTCCTCTCGTTCGAAGTTAACAGTATGCTCACCTTATAGAAAATCCCTTGAGCAACAACTTTTGCTGTGTGGTGTTTTGTGTAAAAAGTTGATTTTCCACCCAGGGGCGGATCCAGCTTTAAAGTCAGGGGGGGG